CCGACGACTGGCGGCGCGCGTACTCGCGCGGCCATAACAGGCTGTACGTACGCCACAAATACGTAGATGTGTGTAAAGAAACATATACATATACATATACATATACATATACATATACATATACATATACATATACATATACATATACATATACATATACATACACATATACATATACATGTATACATGCATACATCTACATATGCATCTACATCTACATCCACATCCACATCTACATCTACATATACAGATACACATACATATACAATTCCATATACAAATATGTGTACGCAGACGCCCTCCGACTATCTTCGCATATGCCTTCAGGGAGGGGACTGTGTCGAAAAAGGCTGGCCCCCACTGGTGATTGAGACACTGCCAGCCTCCCCGGAGGCCCAGGAGCAATCCAGTGGAGGGTGCCTGTGTATATTCGCCTGTGGCGGATTATGGGGGGGGAGGGGGGGAGGGGACAGGAGGGAATGTAGCGCTGGGGGACACTGACGTGGGGGAGCGTTGCGTTATGGGGGTCGGGGAAGGGGAAGGGGCAAGCTAGGTGCGCAAGCGTCATATCTGACGTCCTACCCCTCCCTCCCATCTCTTACCATGGCGTAGATCTCCTCTCTATTCGCGCAGTCGGATGTCGTAGCATAGCATAGCATCACATGGCATAGCGCGGCGTTCAAGATCAACGCACTGGAAATGAGGCCAGCGCTGAAGCGGGAGCACGATTTGGAACGAGCAGAAGCGCGGACATGAGGCCAGCGCTGCAGCGGGAGCACGATTCGGAACAGGCGGAAGCGCGGACAGGAGGTCAGCGCTGCAGCCGGAGCACGAGCACGACTATGAACGAGCGGACGCCCGAAAAGGAGTCCAACGCTCCAGCGGGAACATCGTTTCGGAAGACCGGGAAAAAACGGATGTGTACAAACGCCTATGAAAGACCAACTCGCCGGAATCCTGTGCAAGAAAAGCAGTACGCGGAGGGGGCCGATGATCCTCCGGACAGAGTCAGGGGAGAGAGGAGACTGCTATTCATACTGTGCGAGTGTGCAGGGGGCCCAACGCGCGCCATGGCCAAGGGTAAGGAACTAAAATCTCTTCAGGGCGTGACGCGAGGGATGCGTCTGAGAAGGCAAGGGCCTCCTGAAAAGCGCTCGGGCGTTCTGCAAGAAGGCTTCTTGGAAGCCCCCGGGCGTTCCTGAGAAGGCAGCCTCCTTCTATTCAGGGATGAAAAAAACGACCATACCCTGGGTTACAAGTGCGTGGTCTGTAAACCTCCTGGGACCCCCCAAAACCTAGAGCCGCCAGGACGCGGCACATCACGCAGGGTTTACCCTGTCAGCGCACAGGAGTTTCAGCGCACAGCGCCTCGTAAACCAGGGTAGGGGCGTTTTTTCTGCCCTTGATGATCAGCTTGCGGGGGGGCATACCGGGCACCGGAGACGGCAAACACGGCGCGGGGTGAAGAGTCCGCTCTGGGCAAGGAAGGCGTGAGGAGGTCCAGGCGTTCGCATCGAGAGGAAGAATGACGTGGGGGGATCTGGGCCCCCAGGGGATCCCGCAGAAGGCATCACCACGGCCATGCCTGGCCATCGCCATCCTGATCCCATGGGCCATGGCGTTTTTTGTGCCCTTGATTCTAAGCAGCCCCTTGCTTCCTCAAAGGCGCCCCCCTCGCGCCGCCCCGTGGTGCGCGCCGCCGACCATGGGGCGCCTGGCCCCAGGGCGGCTAGGCAAGTTGCACCCCTTCGGTGTCGCGTCGGGGGGTAAACTGCCCAGCCGCTCACGGACAGGCGTGTCCCATGCCGAACGTATGCATTTGTGCGTATACGTAATAGGATAGACATATACCGATGATTATACATTTAAAAAAGTTGGCACATGCACGCACAAACCTATCCAGTCTAGACATATAGCTGTGATAACAATTATATCCGAATGTGTATATATATATATGTATACCCAAAGACGTGTGCATATATATATATATATACATATGTATATATATGTATGTCTATAGCTATGAATGTATATATGTGTATGCCACCGTGCCTCGAGGCACGAAGTGGAGCCCCCCCCCAGGCTCTCATGTGTTCTGTTCCCTATACTCAGGACTGGGGGATTACGATATTCTAGGGGCTGCGGCCCCAGATATTCTAGGGGCTGCGGCGTTCATCCCCGCATGACTGTTCCAGAAGCCAAAGGACCCCAAGACAGGCCAAGAGGGCCCCAAGAAGCGCCCAAGAGGGTCCAAGAGGCCTCTGTGACAGTCCAAGAGCGCTCCGAGACGCCCAAGATGGCCCCACGACGGCCCAAGAGGTCCCAAAGAAGCCCCAAGAGCGCTCCAAGAGGACCCACAACAGGGCCCAAAGAGGCACAAACAAATCATTGACTTCCTGGGCGCCCCTGGGGGCTCTCTTGGGCTCTCCTGGGGGTCCCTTGAGCAGTTGGGAGACTTTGGGGGCTGATATGGTTCCTTTTGGGTGCCTCTTGGTAAGCGCCTACGGGTTCTTTGGCGCCTCTTGGATGCGTCTTCGGGAACCTTGTGGGAGCCTTTTGGGCGTCATTGGGACCTATTGGGCCCTCTTGGGGCGTCTTCGGGCGGCATTGGGTGCATCATTAGGGCGTCTTGGGCGCTAGGTTGAAGCCTCGGAAATACCGCGGAGGCGACAAGGGTAAAAGTCCCAAATCACGGATTCCCCTCATGTCTTTGAATTACGTTTGGTTCAGAAGGGCCTCCAGGTGCCTCTTGAGCCGTTGGGAGGCTGTCTGAAGCCGTCTTGGAGCAGTCTTGGGCTGCCTCGGGGGTGCCTGGAGATCTCTTGCGCCGTCTGGAAAGCATCTTGGGCGATCCTGGAGCGCCCTCGGGCGGTCTCGAGCCCTGGGGGCCTCCTGGGGAGGCCGCCAGAGGCAGAGGCGGGCCCTCATACGAGCGAGGTCCCAGCCCGGGGCCCAGGGCCCAGGATTTCCCGCACACGTATAGAGCCCGCCACCGCACCCCGTTGAGACGTGTTTTTTAGGGTAATGTCATCTTCTAAGGGCGCGCCCACCTCTAGACGCACGTCGCCGCATGCACCCGCCCACATAATTCAACAGAATCGCACCAGCGAGTTCCCGCTTCCAAAGCCAAGATGCCTCCCAGGACGGCCTAAGATGGCTCCAAGACGGCGCAAGAGGCCTTCGAGATATACCCAGGAGGGCTTCGAGAGGCATCACCCAGTGTGTGTCCTAAGGTTTTTCTATGTTTGGGGTCCTCGCCTTTTCGAGCGTGCGACGTCCCAAGACGGCCCAAGAAACCCTCAGGAGAACCCCACGACGGCCGAAGAGGCCCCTAAGATGGCCCCTAAGAGGGCCCCACGACTGCCCAAGATGCGTCCAAGTCTGCCCAAGACGTCCCCAAGAGGGGCCCAAGAGAGCCTTCAAATGGCCCAAGAGGGCCCCTGGGGGCCCAAGACTGCCTCATAGGCGGCTAAGGCAGCCGAAAGGCAGCCCGAACGAGTCCAATGAGGGCTCCTCAACTAATGAAGACGAAAGGTGCCACATGTGACGGCCTTCCTCTTCCGCATCTTCCTCCTCCTACTCCTTCTGCTCTTCCATCTAATCCTTAACATTACTCCCGTCACGATTATCATCTTACGTCTCCTCCTCCTCCTCCTCTTCCTTCTCCTCGCCCTCCTCTTCCCGTCCTCCTCCTCCTCATCATCATCATCATAATCAGCATAACTCCCCCCAGTATCAGCATCATCCTGATTACCCTGGTCAAAATGAGAATCATCATCAGCATCGTCATAATCAGCATCATCATCATCAGCAGCAGCATCAGTATCATCATCGCCATCATCACCAACATGACATCGTCATCGTCAGCAGCATCACCACCACGTCGTCATCATCATCAGCATCATCATCGTTGTTGTCATCATCATCATTGCTATCAACATCACCATCACACTCATCATGGCCATCCTCATTGTCAGAATCTTAGTCATCATCAGAATCATCATCAGCAGTCTCGACATCACAATCAGCATCATCAACATCGTCATTAGAATCACTAGCTCCATCACGATCACATTCACCATCACCATCACCATAATCATAGTCATACACAGTCACCATCACAATCCTCATCATCAGCCTCAACAGCATCATCATCAGCAGCAGCATCATCACTGGCACCATCATCATCATCCTCATCTGCATCATCATTAGCATCATCATCATCATCACCTTCACCATCATCATCAGCATCACCATCATCGCAGTCATCATCAAAACCATCAGCATCATCAGCATCACCATCAGCAGTATAAACATCATCAACATCACCACCAGCATCCGCATCATGCTCGACCTCAACATCATCATCATCAGCATCGCCATCATCATCATCATCAGCAGCAGCATCATCATCACATTCATCATCATCATCGTCAACATCATCATAATCACCATCAGCATCACCTTCACCATCACCACGGCTTCCCCAAGCCTCGGGACACGAGGTTTCACACGTGACGGTCTCTCGTGTCCCCTCGAAAAGTCGCCACCCAGAATGCTGTGCTGGCACGGTGGCGAGACTTGCCGAGATAGCTAGATATGTTCAGAATTCTAGATGTAATGGTGTATAATAAGATAAAAAAAACGCACATAAATATACATTGACGAAGACATGCCTACATACACATATCTCTATACATTTATGTACATATCGCGGGTTCCAGATATCTGGACTCACAAATGATTGTCACCTGTTGTGGGGGAGGGTATTTTCACTTCCGTCGGCTTCCGCTGGTGAAGTCCCCCTCGTTTTACTTCTTCCGACTTGCAGAGGAAAAGATGGCCTCACCTCTCCCTATACATAAATGTATAGACACAGCTATACACGTATGCGTATACATATTTGCACACTTTGGTATGTGTTTGTGCCGCTATTCGCCCGCTGACAACCCCAGACAGCAGCAACAACTGCGGCGAGTTGACGGCGCCGCCGCACAGGATCACCTCCCGCCGCGCCAGCACCCTGCGGCGGCGCCGGCCCTCTCCGTGGGCATCCTCGCAGACCTCGCCGTGGAGGAGCTCAAACGGATCCCGGCCCGTGGGCCGTCCTCCAGGACTGACTGGTGCTGTATGCGACGCACAAGGACATACACGTCGGTCGGAAGAAGTGGGTAGAAACATGAAGTAGGAAGCGGATGTAGTGGATTGGGTCCAGGTCCTCCCAGAGAGTACCAGAACACAGCAAAAGCATGCCGGTTCTTGAAGTAGGAAGGCGCTTGAATCGACTGGGATCTCGGGAAACACCTGCTTTCAACGAGCGGCGCGTACTGGTACAATGCATCCTCCTTGGAGGCGCGCGTCCGACCCCAACAGTTCGTCCAACGATCTCGCAGTACAGTCAAAAAACCCTAATAAGGGCGCGCAGTAAGGACGCAGGACCCTTGAAAGCCGAAGTTGGGATCTCTGGGGCGGCGGACGGCGAAAACCCCAAGACGAAACCAAGGAAGGACGGAGACGCGAGAGCAAGGACGAGCAAAGACGCAAGGGCACCCTGAGCAAAGTCGCGCGTCCTTAGTAAGGTTTTTGACTGCATCAGACAGCTCTTTTTTTCGTTTCAACCCCAACGTGTTTTCCTGCAGGGACTGGGGCGGAGACTGCCTGCAGAATATTTACCCCGCCAGAGTTAGGCGGGGAGACAAGGCCACGAGCAGGAACCTGCAAGTGGAAAAGCAGCGCGGGCCGCCAGTCCTCGACTGCACAAGAGGACGGGCGACCATCAGCCAGGATGCTGGGCTGCACTGCAGCAGACAGCTCCCCGAGGCAAGGACGGCAGGGACGCGCCCGCCACGAGGCACGCACCCGAAGACTTCCTCGAGCGCGCGTCGCCCCTCGGGGCGACGCACGCCCTAGCATCAGTACGAAGGGGCCCCAGGCAACACGCAGAGAAATACACACACAAACAAACCCATTCCCAAGATTTCCCTACATTTTTGGGGGGTTCTCGTCTTCCCCCCCTCTTCCCATATTTTCTCCCGTACTCTCAGGGGAATCGACGATTAGTTGTGTCTGAGTGTTTCTCTCCCTCCTGATCGTAGATGTGGGTGACGCCGACTTCATGCTGAGGTGAGGCGAAGGCAAGAAGTCACAGCGCCGGTTGTTCCGACGCGCGGCCTTCCATCTTGGGGAGGGCGCCTCGGCCACCAGGGCCCACGCCGCCTCGGGCGCAGGGCTTGCTGTGGACTTGCTACGGGTTTGCCACGGTGTCGGCGTCGTCCACTTGGGCGCGTCGAGAACTGACGGCGCGGCGACGGACGAACACGAGGCCAGATGGCCGCAGAAGTGGCCTCTCAGAGAGCTGGCGGGCCTGGAAGATGACCGAGGGTTGCTCGATAGGTGCCCCGTGGCCCACGGTGCCCCCAGCTTTTCTCGCTCCGCATTGGAGCCCCTGGAGCCCCGTGGGCCTCGTGAGGGGTGCTTTCAGAGGCCGCGGGGGCCTCCTTTGGAAATCCTGGGGGCACCTTGGGCGAGAGGCATTACTAGCACAACCCGAGATGTATCCAGAGCCGCGGTCGTTTCGAAGCGCTCGGGAACGATCTGGCCAAGATCTGCAACGCTCAGAATCGATGCGTTTCCATCCAAGGTGTGCCTGATAGGCTGTTTTCTTACTGTTTCGGAGCTCGGAGAGGCTCCCAGGAGGGCGAAACCAGGGAAGCATCGTTGCCACGGCGTGCTGCGCATGCTTGAGAAAACTCTGGTCGCAGAATGTGATGTAGACAAGCGTGCATGCAAGCATGTGCTTGTTGCGCGTTCCATGGCCGCCGAGGCTCGTATCAGATCTCGTTTGCATGTTCTGGGGCGACTTCCCACGGGGCCGCACTGCGATACAGTGAAGAGAAGCGTCGACCACGTAGAGTTGTCGGGAACCATTGTGCATATTCCTGTAGGAAACTGAACTCTATTCACCGACACTTTTTCTGGCCCCGCACTGAAACTCACACAGGATACCGGATCCTGGTGTGTACGGCATCCTGATGTGTGTGTGTGTATATATATATATATATGGTTCGTTGCTTTCGCGGGTAAACGGGGGAAACATATGCACCACACCACTCCGACGTCGTCCTCGACCCCCGAAAAGTCTTGGGATTGAAAACAGCCTGCCACTGGTAATGTATACTTATGCTCCAGTTTGCGAATTTCTCCCTCTTCATAACCGACACCTTCCTCTCCGCCCTATTATTCAAGGTCTCGATGAGGCAGCTTGGAGACTACAGACTCCTTAGCATGGTGGGCTTCGGCTGAACGCAAGTTGCCACGTTCGGAGGTTCGTGCAACACTTGCGCAGCACTTGCTCTGTACTCTCGCGCCACTGTGTCCCGGCTCGCAGGGCCCACGGTGCGGCGGCACCCTCAATTGCAGACCGCATGGCGCACTTGATTGATTGCAGACATCGTGTCCATCATGCAGGCTTTGTGCACTTGCCCGAAGGATTTGGCCCGGAGAACGCTTGACGGCCATAGGAAGGGAAAATTGAACTGGTGCCCCTTCTCTGGACTTGCGCGTTCCGAAGCTCTCCACTTGAGCAGGGACCGACCGTCCCAGCATTCCTATAGTCCTACCACGACATGTCCTTAGAACCCAACAATGTTCTGAGAACCAACGTGCTTAGAACAGGAGCCCGATGTGCTAGAACAAGACAGCCCCCGCCAGAAATGCTCTGAGAGCACTGCGTGGCAACCACAAAAGGCTGTTCGAATTTAGTTTGGTACGTAGGGCTATAGGCGAGCCAGGACGCTTCGCCACTGCTCGATCCACCCGTCTGGGGCCGCCACGGGGACGGGGCGAAGGCCCGCGGCATCCGCCGGGGCCCCGCGCGCTCCGGCTCCGTGCGCCGCCGCCCCACCGGCCAGTTCCGCACGGGGCTCACGGACGCCGGGCGTGTCGCAGGTACGAACCTGTTCAGCTCCTGCTGTGCATAGCAATCGTGCCATATCGTCCCACCAGCCTTTTTGAGATTCCTCCTTTCCCCCCCCAAAAAAAATGCCCTTCGGGGAGGTTAATCTCCCCCACCCCCCTGAGGCTTTCTTTGGAGGGATTAGCGACGCGTTAGAGCGTCCAACATCCCCCAAAAGAGTCCCAAGAGGGCTCCAAGAGGCGATTTGGAGGTTCTGTCCTGTCCTCGACTGCGCTGTTCTCCTACTCCCCCTCGTTCTCGTCTTTGCCCTCATCGATTCCGTTTTCCGTTCCTCCTCTTCCTCGTCGTCGTTGTCGTCGACGTCGTCGTCGTCGTCGTCTTCCCCCTCCTCCTGCTCTTCCTCCTCCATCCCTCGCCCCCACGCGGGCCCCAGGGATGGCCCCAAGAGGCCAACCAAGTCCACCCCCATAGCTCCCAAAGATCTCTCTGTTCACCCTGGTTGCCCGACTTGTTCCACTAGTCTCTCGTCACTGTTTTTTGAATGGGCTGGTGGGGATACGCGAAGCCTTGAATTACGCTACCGAAGAAACCCACATACTTATAATATGTCTGGCGTGAGGATAGCTGACGAGAAACTTGGGGGAATGATGTTGGTGGCCGTTGCTTCGCCGAGACCACTGGTGGCGCTGGTCAAGCCTTGGGAGACTGACGCGCCGTGCGAACAGCACCCTGAGCCATGACGACCACGGAAGCGAGCGGAGCTGTACTGGCCATCGCTCGGACGTACATTTCCTGTGTTTTTTTTTTTCCGGTTTCGTGCGTGGTTATTTTCGCCAAGTGCTCAAGGATGCTCTTCGATGGTCCTCGCCGAAGGAAAAATGCACACGCCCGAGCGATGCCGAGTGCAGGTAGGCAGGCGGACGGCGCACGAGTCTCGACGCGGTGGGCAGGCGGAACGCGCACGCCGCGGGGAGGGACCACCCCCTGCGCATCCCCGATGCTGTCGAGGAAGTGCCACGCCTGCTGTGCATGGGCGACTGGGGCGTACAGGCACCGCGGTGAGGGACCAGCCCCTGCACACCCCCTACGGTGTCCAGAAAGTGCCACGCCTGCCACGCTCGCCGACCCTGGCACGCATAGCGGCCGCGCTGAGGGACCACCCCCTGCGCACACCAAGCAGGCGTCGAGGAAGTGCCACGCCTGCCACGCTCTCAGGCCCTGGCACGCATAGGGACCGCGCTGAGAGACCACCCCCTGCGCACCCCCTCTGGTCTCTGGCACGCATAGAGGCCGCGCTGAGAGACCCCCCCCGCCTGCGCAAACCCTTTCTAATGCCAGGAAAATGCCACGCCTGCCACGCTCTCCGACCCTGACACCCACAGAAGCCGCGCTGAAAGAACCCCCTGCGCGCCCCCTCAAGTGTCGAGGAAGTGCCACGCCTGCCACGCTCTCAGGCCCTGGCACGCATAGGGGCCGCGGTGGGAGACGAGAATGCCACGCCTGCCACGCTCTCCGACCCTGGCACGCATAGCGGCCGCGCTGAGAGACCGCCCTCTGCGCACCCTCTCTGGTGTCGAGAAACTGCCACGCCTGCCACGCTTTGCGACCCTGGCACGCATGGATGCCGCGCTGAGAGGCCACCTCCTGCGCACCCTAATCAGGTGTCGAGAGTGCCACGCCTGCCACGCTGTGCGAGCGTGCGGCGGATAGCGCCCCCACCTCCAGCGCACCCCCTGTGGTGTCGAGAACCTGCAACGCCTGCCGCGCTTTGCGAGCGTACGACGGATAGCGCCCCCACCTCGGGCACACCCCCTGCGGCGTAGAGAAACTGCCGCGCCTGCCACGCTTTGCGAGCGTACGACGGGTAGCGCCCCCCACCTCGGGCACACCCCCCTGCGGCGTCGAGAAACTGCCACGCCTGTCACGCCTTGCGAGCCCGAAACGGATAGCGCTCCCACCCACAACGCACCCTGGTGTCGAGAATGTGCCACCCCTGCCACGCTTTGCGAACCAGAAACGGATAGCGCGCCCACCCCCAGAGCACCCCCTATGGCGTCGACGAAATGCCACGCCTGCCACGCTTTGCAAGCCCGAAGCGGATAGCACTCTCATCCCCCAGTGCACCCCCTGTGGTGCCGAGGAGGTACCA